ATACATGTTGTTAAAATCGAGTAATTTATATCATTCTTTATCGCAGTCTTTAACACTAAACAGTCAGGAGCCCACGTCTTTGCTACATGATAAAACTAATTCCAATTTTATTTATTGCCTCCTTAAATCACGAAGCAAAGCCACGTGTTACTATCTGCCGTGTTAGGTATGGATTATTTCGCAGACCTATTGCCGACATTGGGTCTTACTTCTTGCTACGTCTTTCTAGACCTGATTTTAAACTCCGAGCTAAATCCGTTAGGAGATTGAGACAGTGTAGAAAGAATACCATGATTCTACGCAAGACAGGGAAGTTGGAATATACTTGTAAATCAGACAAACGGTGACTTCAACACCCTTCTTACTACAGTTTTCGCCGGGACCGAAGATGGCTGTGTTACTTGTATTATACCCGGACCGCCTCCTTATACTGCGTAATTTGCAGGGTATCTTATCTTCACTGTCATGATCATTCGCTCACAGCTGGCCTATACTGCAGAATAGAGTTGATAGAAAGCTATGTGCCATTGTGACAAATAACAGTGCAGGGAAGAATGTTACCTAACCCACTGACGGTGACGTGTATAATGAAAACTAAACGTCTCATGACATATGTTATATAACATTTCCGATTTTCTTCTTTAACAGGGAATCACACTATGAGGATCTTGTGCGAATTTCGTTTCTTCCTGTATACATATACCCTTTATGCTATTTAAATTTGATGTTCTTTATGTATGACCTTAATTACCAAGTCAATTCACCGGAACACAAGGGCATACTGGAGTCTGATAATGTAAAGTTTGAAATCTCCACGTTTCTGAATCCAAAAACGCATATTCGTTAGACTGGTCACTGCAATATGAAATTCATCTGTCCAAGAGATTTACAAACATTGAAGGCATAATAAAGATTTGACGCATAAAGTTTATAGGAGTACTGTACAAATTGCCGGCCACAGTAACCGCGTGGTCTAAGGTACGAACTGTCTTCGCTCGTTCGAACTCTGGGATCGTGGTTTCGAATCCCACTGAGGGCATAGATGTTTGGTGTGTGTGTGTGTGCGTTTATTCTGTGTTTGTGTTGTCCTGTGTGTAGGTAGTGGCCTTGCGACGGGCTGATCACTCGTTCAAGGAATCCTACCGTCCGTGAAAAATATTTTTTTTTTCCTTGGTACTACAGCCCCAGTGGGCCTAGGCCTACGTCCATGAACTTCTCCGTTCACTTCGGATTTTCTTGATCTTACACATTCGGTAGGACTCCTTGGGCGGGTGATCAGCTCGCCGCAAGGCCTCTACCTGTACACAAACACAGAAAAACGCACAAAACATCCATGCCCTGAGTGGGATTTGAACCCACGATCCCGGTTTCCAGGCGAGCGAAGACGGTGCATACCTTAGACCTCTCGGCTACCGTGACCGGCATGAAAAATTATTACGGAACTGAATAAGAGGCCTTGGGCAGGAAGAGCTATTGAAGATAACTGTAGAAATCGAAGTAAGTTAGGTTGAGCATGAAGTATGACAGTAAGAAAGCTTGTCCTGACTGACGTAGTGTCGAATGATCCATTCTTTTAACTCTGTAACTATTTCCTATACTGCACCCAATATGTCTCAGGCAGGAAGAGCAATTTTGCTGTTAGAAGTGTGGAAGAACATTTCGAGCTAGTTAAGCATATGTATTGCTCTTCCGTCACAGATAGAAATGTTTGTTATTCGTATCCCAAATACATTACTAGATCCAAATATATTTGGACACTTTCGTGTAGCTTAGTGATGGTGTAGTTTTCTGCCACGAGTATCAGTATTATACAGAGATTTTAAAAGTGACTTGCATGTTAAGCACGTAGCTGTTCCGACGTGTAGCTAAAACAGGAAGTAGTGTTAATCGGAGATACACTTCGACTGGACAATGAAACGAGAGACATGCAGAGAATAATAACGGGGAGCCTTCTTGTAGCAATGCCAGATCTTGGAAGATTAATATGGAGACGGGAGGGCAGGTCCTAGTATTTGTCTTTTGGCAAGGAGTAAAGTGTTTGAATAGAGCTAGCTCAGAGGCTGGGATCCATCAGCAAAGTTTAACTTTCCAGTTTTAATACCAGTTTCTTGTAGTTAGGTCACCCTCTGTAAAACTATAGTTATTTAGCTGTTTATTAATGACTGTGAATTTTGATTACTATTCCTGAGATACTTTAGATAGGATTATTTGAGAACAGGGTGTAGAACGGAATATTTTCAAATTTACAGTAGGAACTAACTGGAGTTTGGAAGAGTTGGCATAATTCGGAGGAGTTCCATAATTTGTATGAAACGTCAAATTTTATTAGAGAGAAACTTAAATAAGAATGACGAAATGGACTATGAGTGAAGCATATATAGGAGGACAGAGAAAAGATGCAAGATTATATATGGTAAACCAAAAAGAAAGAACCGTTTGGAAGACCTAGGCACCGCTAGGAGGAAAAAAATAAAAGCGCATTTTTATAGAAATAAAATATTGTGACATGAAAGTGTGGATTAGATTAGTCAGGCTTGTTTTTTAATGCTAGTGGGGTGGGACTAAATCCCTTGTACTGGGGCCACTTCTGGCCTATTGTACCAGCCTCAGATGATAGGTGAGGGTGATTGTGGAGCAATTGGTGGAATGAAGATTGGCAGGGGAAACCGAAGTACTCGGAGAAAATCTGCCTCAGCGCCACTTTGTCCACCACAAATCCCACTTGACCAGATCCAGGATCGAACCCGGGCCGCCGCGGTTGGAAGCCAGCAACTAACCACCTGAGCTATGGCGCGGCCCTTAGTCAGGCTTAAGACAGATATTGGCGGTTGTGAACAGAAAAATGAGTCTTCACATTTCATGAGAGAATGATAAATTTTTAATTAACTTCCTTAATTAATGTACTTCGTTTAAATTAATTGTTTCATTTTTATAATTTATCTAATTATAATATAGTCGTGCAGTAAAAGTTTTCCAAGTAATCGAATTTGTATTTCAGATGCTTTGCATTACCATCAAGTATAAAGAACTAGAACCGTCACGACCTGATAACATTGGTCTCTTGACCATATATCAGGGCTACATGTCATATACGACTATGACTTGCTGCTAGTGACAGAAAAGTTCCATTTACTACGTGATAAAATAATTTCTTAAGTGATATATTGCATAATGGCGTCCAAGGCGGTTTTTATGCCGGGCGAGGTCTTTCAGTTAGTAGTCACCAAACTCTCATCCAGTTTGTTTATTGATCCATTCAGTAAGCTGAACGTAAGTTGTTGAGTGCTTTACGTTTGCGCCTTTTGTGTAGGCTAGATGAATTATCTGATAAAAAGTCCGTTAGACTCGCAATTCACCAGAAATTACTGATCTGTTATAGTACATAAGCACTGAAGGTACAAAGTAAATATAGTTATAATATTTACTGTAGTTGAAATTGAATGCCATATTTAAAATCCATTTTACTAGGTGACATTGTTCAATGGTAGCTCTCTTTAACAACATCAGGAATGAAAACGGGATGCTAATTGAGAACCTGCGAGGTAGGGGAAATCTCAACAGAACCTTAGCTTCAATAATAAGAAAATGAAACATCAGTGCATTCAAAATCATTTCATCAACATGATATTATGATGACCAACAAGACGTTCAGAACAGCGGATAACGTGTAGAGTTGTATGAAGTGTGTACATGGAAAATGGCCTCAGGACTAATATGGTTATTCCACGAAATACTTTATGATATTTCTGACTTCATCCTACGATCAACAACTCATAGTTTCTTTCGTATATAGTATGAACTAATTACTGATATGAGTGATGTGTTCCAGTTAATATATTTTATGATTTTGCAATTGTAAACGTAATTTTTATAAAATGTGAATATAAGACAATTAACGAAACTTACCAGCGTATGGCAAATATAAAATACTAAACATTTAAGAGCAGTTTCCTTCTGAAATTTATTGTCTATACCTAAATTTAAAAAAAAAATATAAATATTCTTGATGAAGTTAGCATTTGCAAATAACATGAAACAACTGCCGTTGACGAAATAGCAACAGGTTTTAATCTGATAGCTACTTACATCAGAATTGTGAAAGAAAATATATTTGTATATTTTCGAACTTAATTAACTGGTGTAAATCTAACAAATTTGAGAAGCAAAATGGAGGGTCATTATGCAAACCCATGCGTTTAAGTAACCCTAACAGGATAATAGAATATTTTACAGGACTTCCTTACACCATTGCATTTGATTTGAACATAGCTTTCCCTGCACCACTGTTTCATACTGAATCCAATAATCATATGTAAATTAACCAACAATTATGACATATCGTGTCATGCTTGTAGTGAACAAGAGACTTTCCATTCCAAGAAATACTATATATCTTATGGTCGATAACATTCATCATCGTTCATAAATATATTTATTTTTATCATGTGATTTTTTAGGTTCCCGCTTGTCGTGTTAACATCAGTAATTAATTAGCACATTCCCACTGTGTGCCAAGAAAAATAGGCTGATAACAAAGCTGCTGAATTATTTTCAATTCAAAATTTACTATGATGATAATTATTACGATTTAAAAATAAATTACATACGTAAAATCAAAACGCATTTCAGTTTATGTTTAGAGGTCAAGGAACATCAGACGATATTATTTACACCAAGTGAGGCTCTAAACGAGTTTGAGAACTACTTCCCTAGAACATATCAGTTCACATGAAGTCCCTGTCCTGAATAATCCCGTGGGATAGTAGAGTGCCAGTCTTTCTTGTTTTTTACGCGATAGTTATTTGTACATATGCAATAAAAATAAAAAAAGTAATTGAGGTTTACCTCCGTCAAACTTAAATTAAATTAAATTAAATTAAATTATGATACATAATTCACACAAGTTTTATGCTTAAATTCATATAATTTTACTGTTATTCCAACCATTCAGAACACAACTAATGGAATTTTTAGTGTTGATAGAATTTCTTGGAACCTACCTGCATATGACGGTGTTCCGAAGAAAATTTTAATGCTCGTTGTAGACATGTGCACTCCTCTTGACAGAGCTGAAAACTGCAGTTTTGATGTACAACCTACTTTTACTGGAGATCAGATCTTTTTTCCATTATGTAAGCATATTTGTTGTACGAATTTTTTAGATACCGCGTTTATTGTACGTCTAATCCAAGTGTTAATCTTTTGCAACTGCCTTGAATACATTACAAGCTTAAAAGCATATTAATGTGGATTGTATCAGGCAAAAAATAAGATGTTTAAATAATATGGGAGAACGTATTCCCAAAAGTGCCTTATATGTTAGAAGAAAAAGTACTTCCACATAAATATGTCATATTTTCTTCTATCAAAAGTATCGGATATGCCTACTGAATTCACTGAAATTGTAACTGTAGACACGTGACTGCATATAATTGTGTATTTTAATCCTGTGTCCTGTACATACACATTCAGAAGCATACTGCAGGCCGACTCAACGCTAGTACGTCTGACTCGAATTCTGGAGACACCCGGTTAGAATTATTAATACCACACACTTAATGCAACACGGCACAATGTCAACATGTTTATGTTATTTAATAGTGTTTTGTGCATTCGGAGCAACAGCAATGTGTCGATATCGGTAAAAACTAAAGGATTAACCATTACCAAGTTACTGCATGAAATATGATTGTCCACTTTCACCATGGCCTTCGTACATAAATGGAATTAAGAATGCCGTCTTCTGGGATGTAGCACCGTGTACATATTGTGTAAAGTGACGTAAACTGTAAACCAACTGCAGCCACCTGCTCAAAGTCGTTCCTCGCTCGTCGACTCTTATACCCTGAAGATGGAGGAGATACTTTCCCCCGAAACGTCAGTTTACACAATACTACACGGCGCCACATTCCAGAAGACGACATTCTTCATAGTGACCGCCGTGATATACAAAAGCTATAATCTAAAAAGTGTTATTTTGTTATATTATGCATTTCCACCTATAATTTACTTGGGAGAGGAAGTAAATAAACTTTGATTTCAGGATCATGTAAACAAGGATTATGCCTATCTTGAACTGCTACGGCATACTAATTTAGTTCGGCTTATATACATGTAGTATACACGCCTCATACCAATTTAATCGATAATCTGTTGGGTGTTTTTGGGTGCTGAAGCCTACGAATTTAGTTGACTTGTTATTATTCTAACGGGTAAGTGAAAGAGGAATCTTATATCGAAGCGACACATAAATGTTTCGAGAATCAGGCTTTGGGGTACCAGGTTTCAATTTTCTTACATGAACTGTGTATTATGTGTTATAGGGCAACATCGAGTAACTGGCAGAAAATTGACATGGCTCGTGGCTCCGTATCATAACTGCTCCATAAACCTAGAGGCTCGCGTTTGATACGCATTTCATAGAGGCTCTGTGTGCCACTTTGTTCTTTTGGGTTTTGAACGACAGAGAATGTAAATGTAGGAAAATGTACAGAATGAAACCATGTGAGTAAATGTTTTGCGGCTAGTAGGAGTGTACATTCACCCAGACAAGTAATAATGCTCCAGTCCATTCCTTTCGGCTCCAGGAATCATGTTAAATGACACCTAGTTTTGAAAAATTTTAGTTATTTCGAGTTCGAAAGGCGACTTGAATTTTTTTTTTGACTGAATAGTCATATTTACCGTCGTATTGTCTCGTTCTGAAAACATGTACTTTTTGAATAGTTACTGAGGCTTTGCATCAATGTTTGTGATGACTGATGCAGCATTCTCTTCCTCAAAAATCATAGACCATTTATTCTGAAATCGCGAAAACGTTTTGAAATATTAAGTTTATTATATAAATTAATATATTTGACCAACTTTATTATTACAGAATACAGTGACATGCACATACATAAATCTTCATAGATATACGTGTGATAACAATGTCACAGATGCCAGTATAGTTTTAAGGTTAACTTGTTCGGACAGTAATAATTCAAAATTTGAGCAGTCTTCAAAATCTCATTAAATATTGCAAGAAATATTGAGCGATGTTAATTCAGTATATATGAAAAATGTGTTTTGGTATAACATATTATATAAAGTATTGGAATCTTCCTCATCAGAGAACCTCATGTCTTTTGAAATTGTATATGTATTGCATTCGCTAAGAGGACTTTTCCCCTGGATTTGCAGAAGGAGCTTCTCTGTATTTTCTGATAAAATGTTTTGTTTCAAATAACATTCGTCAATTACAGAGAAAATTGTTAGACCTACAGGGAGAAGCAAAGAAGACATCTGTGAGGGTTTATCAAAATGACAGAAAAGAAGCGCGTCTTGGTGGCAGTAAAATTGACAGTTTCAACGAGGACGAAGGTGGTATGCGAAGTGAGAAAGAATTTAGATGTTTTGTGACTGTGTTAACAGAAGATGGAGGAAATCTTAAGTATATTAAATGTCCAACAATGTAAGAAATTGCAGCCATTGTAGAGAGAAAACTATTTGTCAAAACAAACTAAACTAAGACAGAACTTTTTATTCTCTACTTTCATACGGCTGTGAAATATGGGACACAAGTCGAGATTTTTTTCCATAATTTTTTTTAATATTTTTAAGTCCTTGCTTGAGAAGATCAGAAGTTGTCTTCAACCAGGAGCTGCAGCAAGGCAGAACAGGAAGAAGAGAATAATGGAAATCAAAAGAATAAAATGGAAATTGGTTGAACATGCGCTAGGGAAGGGAAAATAATCTTGGGAAAAGCCTGCCTGGTACTGAAATCCTCTAGGTGTTAGAAGAAGAGGTGTGCTTGGGGGGAGAAGAATCGATGAGGAGGCTGTCTAGAAAATAAATGAGAAACATTGAATGATGTTAATATTTGGTTACATATAGGGTTAGATGTCAGCACTTCCTGGATCCACTTTTCTCCCTTAGGAGCAATAAGAATAATGTTGGCATAAGACGCACTATCGAGAAGACAGAACTCGAAAGTGATACATCGATTATACGGTGTTCAGCATTTACAATTTAGCCTTCACTTCAAGGAGATCATTTCATTCTCTCCGAAATTTCACATTTCCCATTTATTCTCTTCTGAACTCAGTTGGACTTTTGTCTTTATACTGGATTGTTCGAATGTGTCCTCGAGAGATGAATAATGCGCCTTTTTTTTTCAATTCTGAAAGGGATGCTTGGACGTAAGCTGTGCCTGTGTGATGGACTTTCACGCTGCAGTTAAAATTAATAAATCCACTTATTTGTTAATAAATTAATTTTAGTTCCATAGCTTTACAGAAGCTATTAATATTGTCACGTGTAGGGTGGTACGTGTGACGAAAATGAAGGGTTCTAGTTCGGAAGATTGGATTTATTGGCACTTTGGTTACAACGTCCCTTCATCTCACTAAATACAGGCAGTACATCTCCATCGCTGATTTACACAAATTTCAGTTCACCGTTCCACACTCACAAGGATACCCAGTCCTCATTAGTCGTCTCCAAGGAACGGATCTCAACACGGAAACTATAACAATCTCACTGGATTACACACTCCACACATAAACGAAGTCTTCAAATCACACTCCAAATCCTCGCAGGCCGACCTCCTGTATTCTTCTGTATTCCTGTTTCAAACTCCCTCTCCACTCCCGTCCTTTTACTCCCAACTGCTGAAACCTCTTGGACTCGCCACTTTGTCACTGTCACTTAAGAAATGAAACGTGTTCAAGTCAAAGTCAAAGTCACATTGCGACTGACGGCCAGTCAGTCTTGGTGTCGACCCCCGTCTAGGTTCATGACCAGATATTTATTACTATTTGACAGTTACGGCCCTGTTATTGTGGGGCGCCCTCTCTGACGAGAGGACTGGTTTATCTTTTGTCAGAGCCATTGTCTGCAGTAGTAAGTCATTTTTCATAATATAAAGGATATTTACATTTTACATGTTAAACATGTTAATAAATCTATATAAAATATGTACAGGGCCTCTGTCAGTCCTGGCTCAGTACAGCAGATTATGCCCTATTTCTAGTAGCTTACGCCACAACGGCAGCCTAGTCACTTGATATAGTCCAAGTCCAAGTGACATTGAGACCGACGGTCAGTCAGTCAGTAAGTCTTGGTGTCGAGCTCCATCTGGGGCTCATGACCAGATATTTATTAGTTTGGCATTTACGGTCCTCTTTTTGTGGGGCGCCTCTATTTTTGAAACGTGTTTACGGAACGATTGAATAGCAACGGTAGAGGAACGGACCCCACAGAAAGCCAGTCACGTAATAGTCACCTCGCCAGTCCATTGGCGCCCAGACTGCTGCCCAATAACGAGCCACAAACATTCGTCCTATTGTTAAGTGCGCTTACGTGAGATGTTTATCGCGCCGTTGCCCAGCTTCACACGTTACAGTATCACACCCTAGAACTATCTCCATGCAACAGTCAGATTTGAGAGGTATGTGGTTATTTAACTTGTCTAGAAATTCTCTGCGTTTAATGAAACCCTGCGGATGGACACAGTGTTCATGAGCTCGCATTACTGAATCGTGTAATGAGTCGCATCCTCACAGCAGAATCCTTGAAAATTAATCTCAATATCATCCTTACATCTTCACGTCGGTCTTCCAAGTTTCTTTTACACGAGAAAGTGTGTAAATAAAAGATCTCTTCTACAATTCACAGTTCTCTCTTAAGAATGAAAAATCGCCCGTTTTCGCTTCAGGTTATCGAACCCGTTAGCATTAAGAAGGCACGCACTAAAGCCCAATCCGCGCAAAAAGAAAATCAACTGGCTCACAAATCGCCTTTCTGCCATAAGAACAAGTGCATACTGCGAGGCGAGGAGTAAAGTCCGTGCAGGCGTCCCCGACAAGACGCTGAAGGAGAATGGTGCTGTGACGTTAGTAGTGAAGAAGAAAAATTGGCATCAAGATCGTAAGAGGTTACTGAAGGAACCCTTTAAAATTTTGATAAACATCACAAAATTTTGTATGAAATACAATATACTAGCGAATATATACCGTATTAAGCATCAGTCATATTCCACGATTCAGGATTGAAATAACACATTTGTTGATGTATGCAGCCATTAACAAAATTGAAAATATTTCTCGTTGTTC